TATATATATATATGAAAATGATCCCAGCCATTGATTTAAGAAGATGGTGGTTTGGTTTAAATTTGTGAATTGATTAAATTTGTCTTAGCTTCATTCGATTTATCTCGACTTAAATTATTTCAATTAAATTTAATTTGCATTTGGGTTAATTTAGCTTGAGTCGACTTGAATTAACTTGATTTGAATTTGATTCGATTAAAGGAATTTAAGTTCAATTTGATGTAATTTGGAGATATTTAATTTAACTCAATTTGGGATTGTTACAGATCTGTGTTCTCGATGCCTTGGGTAGAACTCTACTCGTATAGCAATCATGTGGATGTTATCACAAATTAATATAATGTTATGTACATGAAATAAAAAAATGAACAAATTTATGATAATAAGAAAAATCAGTCCTTAAATAGTTACAAGAAGATGACTTCGCTTGAGATTTAGCATGAGACGTTTCACTTTTAGAATTGTTTTACTGGCTATGGTTCATCAGGAAATGTATTCACATTAATGTGTTATAAGGCTTAGAATAATGTTTGGCCTCAAGAAGAACTTACGAAATAGAGGCAATAACATTACCAGAACATGAAAAGTATAGTCACATTCACATTAGTTTCAAAAATCTCATTGCAAAGCAGGCACATGTGTTCTAAAATTGAAATATTCCTTTTAGAAAGAGCATCCCTGCAAGATAGCATGAATAAATTCTCTAATGTGCTGATAAAGTGATTCTGGCGACACCCAATTTTGATGATTCATCCACATCCCAAGAGATGAATTATTATTGCATATTTGACTACCTGGTAACTCAGGGAATTTGGTAGTAATAATTAATTTCATCTGAGCACCAATGGTCCCAGAGAATGAAAATCGGGCTATTCAAATTAATATTAGACTTAAGTTTGTGTTTGACTAGAGAAGCAGTGTTGCAAATAGACTTTCAAAAGGCAGTATTATGGTGATGACATCTTTCCAGGGAGAACTTTATTATACTCCAAGACTTTTACTTGACGTACTTCAGAATAATTATTTGCAGGAAAATAAATTAATATTCATGTCCATGTGAAAATATTTGATTATATCTAAATGAAGATGCTAAGTAAATGTTTTAAAAATATCATTAAGGCTTGATTCAACTTATCATAAATACATATTTTGGGCTAATTAACAAGAGTTTCCATAAACTGAATTTAAAAAAACTGCATTGAAAGCAACTTCAGCACATTATGGTCTTTTACAAGGACTTCAACATGATTCATTTAGGTATAAAAGCAGGGTATCAACACATTGCTCTTATATACAAAAAGAAATTCAACTCGCATAGCCTATCAAGAGAAATTAAACATGAAATGAAGAAAAATGATCCTGTAAAGCTAAATGGAATTATGTAAATCAGAATCAGTGGCTTGCTCGCTTAATACATCTAACATGATCATATTAACACAATATTTAGAATAATAAAACAACGAAATGCACTAATGGTTACAACTCCAAGGATAGAAATGATGGCAGGTTAATATATAAAGCCTTAACATAATAAAACATATGAAATTCACAATATGAACATAGGATAGAAGACATCTCAAGCAGCACATGAAAAAAAAATATTGTATCAAAGTATAAAAATCTGTCAATAAATCTATATAACCCTTGAATGAGTTGCATATGTATTACCAAAACCTGGATGCAAGTTGTCAAATATATTTCTCAACTTTTGTGTTGAATACATATAAACAAATCATTCTGTCATGTTAAGATAGGGATAGCTAGCACAAGTACAGAATCTATTTTATTTTGATGTGTGTATAGGTGGAACATCAAAATTTACACATATATGCCCAATAAAAAAATAGTCGACTTCCTTCATATTTCTTCACAAAGCAAATAAACTCATATAAGTGTATTGCAAAGTAAGTGTCCCAATTAAAGCAGGGCAACTATCATAAAAATAACCGCACAATACTATGATACTAGTTCTTCTCAGTTCTCAAAACAATTGATCAAAGACTTCTAAATGATCAATATGCCTTGCAAAATATAATTACTTGATTTTTCCTTCTAAAAAAATAAAGCAAAAGTGTAAAATGTAAGCCAGTCAAAGTCATCCATCTAAATGAGAATCAACAATGGTATTACTAATTGATTCAGATATACATATATGTTGCTCAATGAGTTTCCACAAACATATTCATACATAAAGTCTCACCCCTTTTGTTTAGATAACACATATCTTGTATTGAAGAAACAAAATTCTAGAGTAAATACAAATATAGAGAAAGAAATCTTACCCTCACATATTAAGGATATATTATAGCATTAACAGATTAAATAAATTTTCTAATAGAACAAGTCAAGAATGGAGAAAATATCTCTATTTCATTGAACCAGCTAGCTAGAAAAAGAGTGTACACATGGTCTGAAGGCATCAAATCATTATCCCTCAAGTCTATATATATATATATTACTGAACAAATCAGGAAGCAAAAAAAAAAAAAAAATCTCTTGTGATTAGATCCAGATATCAAGAAACTCAAGAATGAACTTTTGATAGCTAATTGAATGAAATTCAAGCATTAGAAGCTTAAAATATCATCCCTGTCAGTAAAAGAGTAATCGTTAAATATAAAAAATGTAAGAATTAAAGCAGTGGCACTATACTTGATCCACAATAGGGAAAAACTTGTCATTCAGTTTTGACAGAAAAGAGACGTATACCAAACTTCTATTTACAACACTGTAGAAGATAGCCACTAACTAGCATGAGATTGTGCTTTCCTTCCTTGGTATAACCCATTTCAGATACTGAAGCCTCTATGAAGAGAACTCCGTCGAGTGGATGGAATATGGCTGCAAACTTCAGCAGACACCTTAGCCATTGTCTCATTGTTGATGCCAGCATTACAAATGTTAGCAAAAGAGCGTGTGTGTTTCATACCATAATCAGATAGAGATCCACAATGTGTTTCAAAAATCTGAATCTGGAGAAGGAAATGCAAATCATACTTAATTGAAGTCACTCAATCTTCAGATGGAGAAAATCGAAGAGAAGTTCAAGAAATTTACCATTGATTTTAGGCAGGCCAAATCGTCGACCAGAGGCTGCCCTGTCTTTTGAACTGCACTAAGGACTTGTATGCCTTTCTCTGATCCAAAGAGAAGCTTCCCTATGAGGTTTATACTATTATCTACATGCACGCGAAGAGTCAGTATATCAAGCAGTTCTTTTTGTGCATCGAGTTTTTCGGATGATCCTTCAGGTGAATTAAGGAACTGTTACAAAAAAAGGGGAGAGAAATATCATCTAGATAAGTGGTCTACAAGAAAAGATAGTCATATCATATGAAAATACAATAGCCTACCTCATTCCAGTAATCAACGAGGTCTACATCACTCTGGCTTGAAAGACAGTCATCCCACTTCCAAAACAAGTAGCAAAATTTATCAAAATAAGTAAAAAATTACAATTAATCAAATGAGTGAAAACCAAAAGATAGGGAAACACATTATGATCAGCATGAACAAAGTTAATATTACACATTTCCCAAAAGATGAAAATAAAAAATAATAATAATATTGTTTGGGCAGTTATCAGCAGTGCCATCGCACCTCGAAAAATTGTTAGTTACGACATCCGGTTAATTCGGACACGCCACATCACTAAGAGCCTGGTGCATCAAGGTGACATGGCATGTCCAAATTGGCCTCAAGACCCTTATAAGCCACACCTAATAATTTCTAACTTCGCATCAACGGCCTTTCTTGCTTTTGCCATCTTTTTTCCATTTTTGTTTCCAAAAAAAGTGGGCATTGCGACTAAATCGATTTCACGTCTTCGCACAGCACGCCATTAATCCCAAAAATTAAAATGAGAGAAAAAATTCAAACAAAATAAATCTTTAATCTGAACCCTCATAGAAATGTATAGTAAATTCTCTTCGCAAGCCGACTAAATCTTTAATCAAATTTTGTTTTGTCAAAAAATATAATCCACCTGAAAAAAGACAAGATGATTATCAAATAATTAATAGTGACAAATTCAAACCAATCAATAACCTAGTTTATGATTTCCTCTTAATAAACAATTATGTTAATGTTATATGCGCTATATAGATTCAAAAGTTGGATATGACGGTGATCCAATGTCCAAATATCATTCGGAATAGTTCTAAACAGTTTCTTCATCTAATACATAATCACACAATCAAGCTTCATGAAAAATCAATTAAATCATTGCTTCGTGAAAAGTCAATTAAATCGGATTAACGTAAAATTTACCAAAATAAGTAAGCAGAAAATTACAATCAATCAGATTAGTGAAAACCAAAAGAAATAGGGAAAGCTAGTTAATACCTGATGTCGGTAATTCCCATAGCCCGAAGATCCTGCAATCGGGATGGCCCACCTCGTCCCAACAGAATCATCCCCACCGGCTTTTAGGCGGCGCCCAGAGATTTCTGACGGCAATCGAAGGACCGGATCCAAGCAAGCGTAGGAAGGTAAGAGATGACAGGAGAGGAGGGATAGGAGAGAAACACAAATAGCAGCGATGCTAAAGAGCGCTACGGGCGCCATTGTTGCCTGCATGAAACCCTAAGGGGCTGTTTGGTATCAGATTTATCGGGGGATTTAAGTCGGATTTACGCTAAATCCAGCCAAACGGTTTTTGTGCGCCAGTTGAATCCCAGCATTCGGTAAATCCGGATTTGCGGATTTAGGGCTTAAATCCCGGATTTGCTAAATCCCTCAGTTCGTCGGATTTAACGTGATTTACCCGAAGAAGCACGTGAAAGGGAGAAAATTACCTTCACAGCCAGCGAGCCGTTCTTCCTTCCGATCAAAATGTCGTAACTTCCGCTCGAATAGGAAGGCGTTGAAGGAGCAAAGTCGAACAGCCACGAAGGAGCTGAAAGGCGACGCGTGCAATCTAATACACCTGCAAAGCAACGAAGCCGAACAACAACGACGAAAAGAGACTAAGTTATTATGGACCGGATCCAAGCGAGCGCTGCAGCCTTGCTAACTACCGGATTCAATTGACTTTTTGTGATGAAAATAAGAGAACGAGGAACCTATGAACCGATGATCGACGTAGATGAAAAATTAAGTCAGAACGGGGTCGTTATTTATGGCAGACGGTGGAGCGCCAAACAACAAGCCCGCGGAAAGCTGCCTGGGCTGCCAGTCGCCCTTTACTATTTTTGCGTTGATTCTCAATAAAAGAAAAAATTAGGTAAGAATTTTCTAATTTTATTTTCTGATTTTAAAATTTTGTATGTAATTTTAAATCAGCATAAAAAAGTATCTTGATCACGAATATTGATGCATATTGAAATGGAGAATTTTGTGGGTGCTATATGTTGATGTAATAATACAAAGTGATTGGTCTTTGTTTATAAGCTTAGGCATTTGGGTTTAGGGGTGCAACCGAGTCAACCCGGCTCGCGAGTCGGCTCGGAAGATAGTTTTGAGCTCGAAAGCTTGTCGAGCTCGAGCTTGAACAGGCGTTGGACTCGACTCGTAGGCTCGACGAGCAGTTCGACGGCGGAGCTTGCAGGCGGGAAACCAAATCGCCAGCGGGAAATCCAAATCGCGAGAGATCGCGAGCGGGAAATCAAAATCGAGAGCAGGACGACGACGGACGAGCTCGGATGACCCCTTCCGAAGACAGCGGAAGAGACTACATGCTCTGGATGACGACGGATTTCTGCTCGACTTGGGACGACGAACACGACGACAGACTCGATTGTGGAGCTCGAGCTCGGATTTTGAACTTGACTCGAGCTCGGGTTTTGATAGCCGAGCTCGACTCGAACACCCCTTGGCTTGAGCTCGACTTGACTAGTTTGCACCCCTATTTGGGTTCAATATGATTTGACTATTTGTACATCATAGTTTCCTTTTATCTCATTCTGAATAATTCTCCATAACTATGAAACTGCATACAAGCTACCCATGAT